TGCTGATTCTCTCATTGAGGGCTTTATCGTTGCTCGATGGAATCAGTCCTGAGAAGCATATTTGGGCTTTGGTTGTGTTCATCAGGTGCTCGGAGAACTCCTCAACGATACTCACGAGACCAGATTTCTTTTTGAGAAGGTCATTTATCCCCGTGTGAACATATATGCATTCGGGCTTGAGTCGTTTGATGGTGTTGTTCAATAGCTTTGTTTTTTTAGTCGTATCCTCATAGCTGTCAAACTTGAGGCAGTGTACATTGAATTGACTATTGAACAGTTTAGGGTTGAAGTGATCAAAGTTACTATCGTGGATCAGAAGAACAGTGTGCTGTCTGTAACTTTCCCTTATTCGCCTGGAAGATTTGTTTCTACTCTCCTTGGCTTCACGACTCGGTTGATTAGGTTGTGCCTCGGATGCGGTGGTCTCTGAATGTTTTGACTCACTGCGGTTGTCCTGTCTGGTTGCTGGTACAGGTACATTCTCTTTGTGGTTTTTGCTGTTCTTCTTGTTCGATGTAGTGAACGTCTCGGAGCCTCCATTCTCAACGATCTTGGACCACAGGATACCCTGTTCGCTTTCCCTGTTCGTATCATCGACAGAGGCCGGTGTGTCACGCCGGGCGGGCTTGTGGTTCGCCGGAGGCTGTGGTGAACTGGTGAGGGCCTGCGTCAGACTCTCATGGTTTACTTCAAGTGCCTCGATTCGGGTCCTATTTGAGGAACTTACAGTTTCAAATGACTGAAAGGCTAGATTGAGCTCACCCTTTAGCTCTTCAGCTGTGGCTTGTGACTGGTTCTTAGCAGTGTTTGCCACACTCTTGACTGCTTTCTTCAGATTGTCTTGGCCTAGCTCAAGTGTTTCGAACTGCCTTCTATTAGCGATATTCGTTGCTTCCAACTTGTTGAAGCAGTTAGCAAGCTCAGCTCTTAAGTCTGGAGAGGACTGAGTCCTCGTGTTGGCCACTAGGTTCAGAGTATTGTTCTGTTCATCTACTGCCTCTCTAAGTAGGTTGAGGTCAGCTCTTAGTTGGTTCACTTTGTCTTCAATCGGACTGAGCTTTTTCGCGACTAAGACTTCCAGCTTTTTGTCTGAGGCAGTAGGTGACGAGATGATCAGGTCAGAGATTGCCTTTTGTTGCAGTATCTCTTCTTTAAGCGTAATAATACTGTCTTGTAGCACTGACACCGCCGCCTTTAACTCAGAGCATTGACTGCATTTGGTACTTATTAGGTGACCCTTGAGGGGCATATCGCCCGCAGTTTCCATGTCGTCGTTAATTTCAGTGGTTGGCCCGTTAGCGGATAATAGGCTCCCGGTATGTTTTTAGAGAGTGGAGGCCGACCGTCAGCTTGGGATGCAGTGCCAAGTGGGAAACAACATCGACTCCCCCTTCCACATGGGCCATGTTGGTTTTGGCAGATACTGTGGTAATAAGATATGAAGTGAATGAGTGAAATAAAGTGAGTGAAAAGGGTGTAAGAGAGGAAGAGCTTGTAAGGTAATTTAGGAAAGGAAGGAAGCAGGGCATATACTACAAAAAACAGCTAGTAGTACTGCAAGATAGTAATAATAACCATTGATAATTAAATAACAAAGACAGCAATATAAATGGAGTGGACATTTTGCCCTAATCGGCCAAGATCGACACAATAGAACTTTTGTGACCTATTTTGACTCCTCATGTAAGTGAAAGTTTAAGAAGTTTGATATACCCCTGCCAGATCGGCAGACGGCATGTCCCCTGCCTGAAATCTTTTGCTAATGTACCATTTGGCAACAATATTGAAATAATTTACAATTTGTGAAGTGTGATTACAAACTATAAAATTAATTTCATTGGGGTATTTGTAATTTCTATCGATTTTCCTTTTGAGAAAGTCTTCAAGTATTGTGATGAAGCTATTTGTGTGAATACAATGGAGATGAATATGAGGAATTGTTTCTAAGTATGTGTTACACAGGCTACACATGGGAGTATCTGTAACAATTTTCATCTTGTGTCTCATGTATCTACACGTTGTGACCCTCATTAAAAGTTTGTAGAGACAATTGATCTTTATAATGTATAAGTTAGTCATTAGTGTTTAGCTGCCCTCAGAATCCATTGTAAGTTAGCTCAATCGGTAAATATACGGAGAAACAAGAAGTCTTCGTGGCGCCCCGGTAACTCGTACTCTGTTTTATAGATCTATAGTGTTAAAGTGTTGAGTAAGCTATAGCACGAGTTATAAAATCACATACGACTAGGAACTGAGAACTGAGTACCGGTCTAGGGATTTTGCTGCTGGACCGGAAACGGTCGGATATTAATTTATTTTCCTGTTTGCCAGACCGGAACAGAGTTGAAAACAGGAGAATTAATGTTTTTTTTGACATTTTAAAAATTTCCGACCGCTGGTTGCTAGATGTCAGAAAATTAAAAAATCACCCTGTGATCCTTTACGAAACTTTTAGGAAATCTACGTTTGACCCATACCTATACTCTCTGTTGTGCAATTCTGACACGAATTACGTGATTTATTAAAGGGTTGCGTGTGGGCAGTTACTTTAAGGCCACCATTGACCCTGTATATTTTAAACCAAACCCCAAAATTGAGTAGAGTGGACCTTCGCTACGGTAGAAGCTGTTTAAAAAAAGACCACCATTCAGATTTCAGCTGCTACAGATTTGGCGACCTAGCAAATAATTAGAGACAAAAGTATAATGTACAAAACACCAGAATCCGCTCTGAAGTACAAAGGCCTTATCAGTCACGTGTAGGAACCGACTGGTCTGGTTTTGGCTGCCGGACTGGAAATGGCCGGCCACATGATATCAATCTAATATCGGGTTTGCCCGATTTTTTTGGACCGAAACTGGGTGTATATTATAACTATAACTATCGAACAATTTATTTCTGGTTATTGACTAACAATAGATGTGGATACTGGCGGGGAGGTGATAATTGTTTGTTCACATTAATAGTGAGTACATGTTCAGGAGGCTGAGGAGGTGATAATTGTTTGTTTACATTTTAGGACGAGTACATGTTCAGGACGCTGAAGAGACGCTTGTAACGCCTTCTTGTTACCTCCCTTTGAGGGCCCCGAATTATTTTCTGAACGCAAGCTCAAAAATAACCGAGAAATTGACCTTCTTATTAACTCATTTTGATGAGTCGGGTTCTTCAATCTGAACTTCAGACCAGAAAAATATGTCTCCCGATATTTGATTTACCGCGCAAAAAGAAGTTGCAATGTGTGTCAATTATACAGTGAGTATCCCCGATCTCAAGCGATGATCATTTAGGGGTCGTTCACATATTACGTAATCAATACTTTAGCAATTTTTACCCCCGACCCCCCCCCCCCCCCCCCCCCCCCCCCCCCCCCTTTGACCTTTTCCCTGGAAAACACTTTTATCTACGCTGATCATTATGAGTGCCAGAAATCATTGTTATGATATCCGGCCAAGCACCTTCCCAGCTATTTACTGGCAAGCCGGATACCTGATCGATTCCTAAATTTTATCACTATCAGAGTGAAATTGAGTGGAATTTTAATTAAAATATTGTCAAATTGTTACAATAATGTTACCCGACACCCGTAATCATTTGGGAGCCTTCCCCCCCCCCCCCCCCCCCCCCCCCCCCTCGGCTGATTACGTAATATGTGAACGACCACTTATATTATTACGAACTTAGTATATTCCTTCGTTTGTTTCCACTATCTCATGTTGTTCAACTTTGTGTAAATTTACTTGGAAACCCACAGCTATTCGTTTGAATGTAATATTAATGAGAGCTGGTCGAGACAATTGATCTCTATAAGTTAGTGTTTAGCTGCCCTCAGAATCCATTGTAAGTTAGCTCAATCGGAAAATATGCGGAGAAACAAAAAGTCTTCATGACGCCCCGGCAGCTCGTACTCTGTTTTATAGATCTATCATATTTATAGTGTTAAAGTGTTGAATACGCTATAGCACAAGTTATAAAATCACATACGACTAGGAACTGACTACCGGTCTAGGGATTTGGCTGCTGGACTGGAAACGGTCGGATATTAATTTATTTTCCTGTTTGCCAGAATGGAACAGAGTGGAAAACAGGAGAATTATTATTTTTTGGACATTTTAAAAATTTGTATCTTAACAGTTTTGAAATTTCCGAGATCGTGCACCTCATGCCTTTGGACCCTGTGATCATAGGTCCAAAGGCATGAGTAAGAACACGGCATATTACCTTTTTAACCAGTATAAGATCTCGAGACATGATGTCAGGTCTCGAGATCTGACTTTGAAATTGACAATTGAAGACCCATATTCATATATATTGTTACCTGAGTACCCTTACTAGGCGGCGCTCAGCTTGTCATTCCGCCGCATCTTCAACCTGTTTATGAACGTTATAGCATGGGGTCCCCATACCAGGTAAAAGTACCAAGTCACAAGTGCCCAAATCAAATTTTCAAAAAATACAATTTTTCAAGAAATTTTTGAATTTCCGGTTGATATCGGGTGACGGTCCATTCTACCCAATTTTGGGTTTTGGTTAAAATAAATTGAACCAATTAGTTCGAAATCAAAAAATGAATACAAACGTACTCACACGTTATTCTGGATTTGACCCCGCTATCTATGTCCGTATGTCTGTATGCCCGTATTTCCGTATGTCCGTATGTCCGTATGTCCGTATGTCCGTATGTACGTATGTCCGTATGAACGTATGTCCGTATGTCAGTATGTCAGTATGTCCGTATGTCCGTATGTCCGTATGCCCGTATGTCCGTATGTCCGCATGTCCGTATGTCCGCATGTCCGTATGTCCGTATGTCCGTATGTCCGTATGTCCGTATGTCCGTATGTCCGTATGTCCGTATGTCCGTATGTCCGTATGTGATGGCTTCAGCGTGGCTCAAACCCACAATCTTATGTCCGTATATGATCTTACGATTATACAAGTTCAATGCCACGCCTTTCCATGTGGACTCAAACTCCATTCCCCAAACTGCACAAACATATTCATAACTTTAATTCCTTTTCTCAATTGGTCAGTTTTCAGTAATTTTCGTTTTTCAGATGAAGCACTCAGTTCTCGTTCTAACTGCCGTTACCCTGACCCTCATTTTGAGGTGTCATGCACAGATAGACTGCAACTCGGGTCCGACTAACAAGAGAAACATAAGAGCTTACTCGGACAAATGTCTTGCCAACGGTGCGTCCAACCGAAAAAAAAAGAAAGAATGACAGCCCAATGAATTTTGGCCCAGTATTTTTTTTACCCGGTACTTGATAACAAAATCAGATCAGGATATATACAGTATCATACAACCGAGTGTTTTAAACATACTTTAATAGAAAACACAACTGATCATAAACATAAGCAATGCATGGGGGTTAGTCAACTCATTGTCCTTTATCAAAAATATATCACAGAGACAGCAGCTACTGATTCAATATTGCATTACCAATTTTATGTACAGGTTTCCCGACGAAAATTGCCGGATGTGTAACCATAGGATCTAATACTTTGTCCGGAGTTCGGGCGAAGACGTGCAGGAAACTACATCAACGGCTTAACGCCTGTGCCCTCAATTGTTTAAAAGCAGGTAATATATTTGACTTTAGAGTCTAGGTACCTAGCAGTTTTGGAACTTGATTGAGAAGCGATTCGACTACTTAAACTAAATCATTTTTTATTATGTAACTGATGAACGCATTTTTCAACTTAGTTGATGGAGGATTCAGTGCCTTTGGAGAATGGTCAGAGTGCTCAGCTGATTGTGGAGAAGGACAACAGACCAGGGAAAGAAGCTGTAATAACCCAGCCCCAGCTAATGGTGGTGCTGATTGTAAGGGAAGTTTGACAGAAGCACAAAATTGCAACTCCGGTTCTTGTTCAGGTTCGTTAAGTAACCTATTGGCTATTAATATTATATTTCTATACTTCAGTATGAAGAAAAAACATAACCACTAAAAATTAAATTAACTTTTACCAAAGTCCAGGAAGTATTAGCGCAAAATAAAATCTGTTATATTTGATATATAACACAGTTTTTCAACTTAGTTGATGGAGGATTGAGTGCGTTTGGAGAATGGTCAGAGTGCTCAGCTGATTGTGGAGAAGGACAACAGACCAGGGAAAGAAGCTGTAATAACCCAGCCCCAGCTAATGGTGGTGCTGATTGTGAGGGAAGTTTGACAGAAGCGCAAAATTGCAACTCCGGTCCTTGTCCAGGTTCGTTAAGTAACCTATTGGCTATTATATTTCTATACTTCAGCATAAAGAAAAAACATTACCACTAAGAATTAAATTAACTTTTACCAAAGTTCAGAAAGTATTAGTGCAAAATAAAATCTGTTATAACTTATATCTGATATAACACAGTTTTTCAACTTAGTTGATGGAGGATTGAGTGCGTTTGGAGAATGGTCAGAGTGCTCAGCTGATTGTGGAGAAGGACAACAGACCAGGGAAAGAAGCTGTAATAACCCAGCCCCAGCTAATGGTGGTGCTGATTGTGAGGGAAGTTTGACAGAAGCGCAAAATTGCAACTCCGGTCCTTGTCCAGGTTCGTTAAGTAACCTATTGGCTATTATATTTCTATACTTCAGCATAAAGAAAAAATATTACCACTAAGAATTAAATTAACTTTTACCAAAGTTCAGAAAGTATTAGTGCAAAATAAAATCTGTTATAACTTATATCTGATATAACACAGTTTTTCAACTTAGTTGATGGAGGATTGAGTGCGTTTGGAGAATGGTCAGAGTGCTCAGCTGATTGTGGAGAAGGACAACAGACCAGGGAAAGAAGCTGTAATAACCCAGCCCCAGCTAATGGTGGTGCTGATTGTGAGGGAAGTTTGACAGAAGCGCAAAATTGCAACTCCGGTCCTTGTCCAGGTTTGTTAAGTAACCTATTATATTTCGATACTTCAGTATAAAGAAAAAACATAACCACTAAAAATTAAATTAACTTTTACCAAAGTCCAGGAAGTATTAGCGCAAAATAAAATCTATTATATTTGATATATAACACAGTTTAAACTTAGTTGATGGAGGATTCAGTGCGTTTGGAGAATGGTCAGAGTGCTCAACTTATTGTGAAGATCAAGGACAACAGACCAGGGAAAGAAGCTGTAATAACCCAGCCCCAGCTAATGATGGTGCTGATTGTGAGGGAAGTTTGACAGAAGCGCAAAATTGCAATTCCGGTCCTTGTCCAGGTTCGCTAAGTAGCCTATTACATCTAAATAATGTAATATACGTTGGATAAGCAGTATTTATTTTAATCGAAAATATCATTAATAGAACTATCTTCTTTTACAGAGCTTTCAGTTTACCCCTCCATCGTGCTTTCGTGAGTAAATTTTGTATACCTCTCCACATCCATTAAAGCATTAAGTACTTTCAACTACAGAGGTCAAGAACATCGCAAGCAAAGGAATGGCAAAACAGACTGATACCATGGGTAGCGGTTACGCTGAATTAGCTATTGATGGCGATAATAATGGCAACTATGGGTAAGAAACTTACTTAAAATAATTTGATTACATTATAGTTTCTGGGAGGAAAGGAGTAAACAAAATTTATAAAATTCTAAAATTTTGCAGCAAAAACGTTTCTATTCCTGTGAAGAAAATTTAAATATTGGTTAATTGGTACTTATTATTTTCAGCAATTCTGTAACTCACACTGAAGCAGCTGGTAGTAACGCCTGGTGGTCGCTGACATACCCTCGCTCAATGTTTATCAAGGAAATCCAAATCTTTGGACGAACAGATTGTTGCTCGGAACGAATTGATGGTGCCTCTGTCTTAATTGATGGCAAGGAAGTAGGAACATTAAACCACAATGATGGAGCCCCTATGGTTGTGCCGGTTAAGAAAGTTGGCTCCGAGATAATGATCAGAAATATAGAAGGTGGAGCCCAGCTTTCTCTTGCTGAAGTTCTGGTTTGTTCATTCAAATATTATTATTATTACATCCTCCGGGTGATTATTCTCCAATTTTGATAACATGTTTGGGGACTGGTTTATAAGCCAGTCAATGTTTACGAATATAATAACTTTATTACATAATCATAAATGTATATCATAAATAGATTAAATCTGAAACAGAAATTTGCACGCAATTAATAAATTTAAGAAAAGAACATGAAAAGAACAGTTTATTGATAAAACAAAATATGGAGCACTTTGTGCTTCCAACAGCCTTTCAGACTCGCGCTTAGTTTGTTTGGGTGTTGGGACTAATTTAGGATATCGTAGATATTGCTATGCCATTAGTTTGGATATGTAGTGTTGTGATTGTTAAAATCAATTACAGTTTGTGCTGATAGGAGAATAGTGATAGTGGGGAATGTGGCACTAGTGTAAATGTGAACCTGGAATTTACTTTTAGGATGTGTGCGGCTTATCCATTAATATTGTTGCCGCTAATCTGTGCTCAGTTTGTTCTGTTACATGTTTCCGTTACCATTTCTCCGGTTGATAAGATGGTTTCATATCACTATTATCTACATATCTAACGACTTAGATTCCTTAAACCACTGCATCAGGCAAATCTCGTCACATATTTAAAAAAATAAAAATGAGGGATGTTTAGGACATTATATTATATTATATGGCAGTAACATCATAATTCAAAACATGTTAATATTTGCACGATCGTATCTCAATTTCAACAAAGTGAAAATATATTAAATTCGTCACAGACAAATATAACTCTATTTGCTCCATATACCTTATGATCTACCGTCTACTTAGAAATCATTTTATTTTAAACAATAAAATGAATATTAAATCCAGTGACTTAGTGACTACCCTAATTTCGTCTTCGATAGCCAATAACCTATTTTCAAGATATATGTGACAGCACATAATGCCCTTGGGCACGATGGTTTACTTGAGTCTAAATATTATACTGAATAGTTTGCATCTAAACAACATCAAATATGTAATAGAGTATTAATCTCCTAGGTGATGGGGGCTAAAATAAAAAGTGATCCTTGCACGACGGGGTACTGCGACAATATCGCATCAGAAGGATTAGCAACGCAGATAGACACTGATCACAATGGAGAAGCTTCCCGGGCCATTGATGGCAATACTTCCAACAGATGGGGATCGTAAGGAACTTTAATTTCATTGTTTGTTTCAAAAATCAGATAATCCTGAGATTTTTGTGGAAAAATAAAAACTTTTTGAAAGATCTGGAGATCTAATTTTTTGCAACAACAGTTTGCCACACAACAATAAAATTGATGATTGTTATTTTTAGGAATTCGATTACCCACACTAAAACGGAAGGAACAAATGCCTGGTGGAGATTGACATTCCCAGATAACGTGTACATGGAACAAATCAAGGTGCGTTCAGTGTTTAAAATGTTTAATAATCACGTAGATAAGATCAGATCATGATCAAGGGAAACTAACATTTTTAGTGAAAAGTAGCAGTTCAATGTTTTGAGTTAACTGACTACATCAAATTCATGTTCTTAAATTATAAGCTATAAAGTAGTATTGACAGTATTAAAAAAACAAGGTATATGGACGTGAAGACTGTTGTGCTGATAGGCTCGATAACGCCACTGTGTATGTCGATGGTGAACTTGTTGGGACTGTGAACTCTAAAATAGGATTCCCCAATTTGATCAACATCGCCGTAAGCGGACAAGTGATAGAAATAAGGCCAGCAGACCGCCAGCCTTTATGTCTCGCTGAAGTTGAGGTGGGTCCTTAATAAAGCTTATTCCCTTATTTGTAGAAGTAGAACCTCCCCAAAAACATAATCCGGAATCCCTCACTATTAACATTAAACTAGCTGCATTGTGTGTAATTAATAAGTTAGTACGCATATACTAATAAGTTAGTACGCAGAATATTGTGATGTATTATATTGATTTGTTCATAACACAGCATAATATCATGACAATTTCTGATTTATTACTTTATTATGTTTTGGATCGTTTGAAAAACTCAAGTTTAAATAACTACTTCAATTTGCAGGTCATCGGCAGTTTGATGCAGTAGAGTTAAAAGGAGCTGACGCTGATATACGAAACATTCTAATGAAAAGAATCATATCAGTTATATTTAATAATTTGATAGCCTGTTGCAGCAATTGGAATGATTTTTTTTAAAACTTCGTTGTTTTCACCTTATGTGATATTTTAACATGGTCTTTAGGGTTTCAAACGTTTACTTTTAGACATTAAAATAGACCTTGCAATTAATTCGCTGTTTTAATTTTCAACAATCACGCTGTTAGTGTAAGTGTTGCTGCAAAAAGAATAAACATTCAACTTGATTGACGATGTCAACAGTCAACCCATCGAGATCGTTGCTCAAAACACGATCCTTCAAAATACGTACTTTCTCTCTTTATACTCAGCGCTAAAGTCATCTGCCGTTCACTACAACGACACAAATTGACGCTCTGGGAGCTGGGATTCTCTGTCCTTTGACAGGAGTGTTTCATCACGAACAACCACAAACCAGATAGATAAAACAATATTTTAATGATAAACTATTATATAATAACGTATATGTATATTGTATAACGTATAATAATGATGACACGGAATATGAGTATGACATAATATGTACTAAATGTTTCTTGTCTAAAATTAAATGTTTAAGAAAATTTAAGTGAGTTCAATTTTAATAAGGAAATAAGGTATTGTCAGGAATTCAGTCAACCTCCAACTCAAAGTCCAAGTGCCACGCGAGGATATGGACACAGTTGAAAGTTTCTTCACCGTTTCTCATTTCATCCAGACTGGGACAAAATAGGTGAAGTGACACTGACATGGTGAGTATCCACACACACACACACACACACACACATACACACAATTTTTTGTTTGTCACATAAGCAGCAAATAGGTATTTTTCTTCTTTCTTTTTCTAACAGTTAACTGACTGTTAGAAAGCTATTAGCCGGTTAGACTTAGAGGGCTGTTAGGTATTTTTAGAGGGCTGTATAGAGAATAGAGATGTACAATAAGTAAAATTTCATAATTACTTCAAGAATTGAATAAAACTGTTGAAAACATAAGCCAATATTTTATAAAAGATAATGATAATCCGATAGATAAAGTCCACAATAATAATATATAATTATAAAGCTAATAATAATATAATTTAAATTGAACCTCGACTAATTTTCTGCCCATTCATGAAAGCCCTAATAATATCCAAACACTTGTAAGTATCCAAATGTGCCATCTCGGCCTCAACTTTGTCCTTATCAGCTGGATCAACAGCCCCCGGCCCCTGCCTGATATGGCGGGCCATATGTTGGTCATCATTAGCTCGGGAGTAAGGTCAGGGTGACACTGCATGGTCAGGATATTTCCCCGCACCAAGACCACCTCATTCAGGCACCTCTCTGAAGAGCCTAGCAGTCGTGCTCCCTCGCCCAACGTCACTACCTCATCACCATGACTCTGCAACATCTTCAAACTTGTCCCGTCTTCCAGTAACATTGATATCGCTGAGTCTCCCAAATCCTCCGGTATGGAGATCTTTATCCCGTCCGCTCCGAAGATAAAACCTTGATCCACGTTCTTTGTAACCGTACCACCAAACGCTTTGTTGATCAACTGATGGCCAAAACAAGAGCCAAAAAGTTTGAGTTTTGTGTTGGCTATAGATCTGAAAAACTCGCAAAGTTCCAACATCCACTGGTCATCATCGTAAGCTGACTTAGCGGATCCAAGACAGATAATCGCATCTAGTTCAGTAGTGTTTTCTAAAGTAGGAATATCACCGTCAATGGGACGAAAATATCTTAACTCTCCGTCCCCCTCACGATGAAAACATCTGAAAATAGTTGTTTGAATGTTCGTACTAAAAATGAATATGGGAGCGTTCACATATATGACGTCAGCAGCCGAGAGGGTTTGGAAATGCTGACAAAGGGGGGAGGGGGTTGCTGACGTCAAATCAACAAAAATACCTGAATTTTGGCAAAAATTGTTGTTTCAAACTATTTTATTAATCTTTCTTCTCTCACTTCGTCACAAACTATCATCAAAATCTATTTTATTAACGATAAGACTTCGCTAATCTATGCTAATAATCCCAATAAATGTGTGGGTGAGTAGGTGGGTACTGGTATGTGTGTGTCCCCCCTCAGCAGCTGTCATCGCATCAGAAATCCGAAAAAGACACCAACATCGTCCTCCACTTGATCTAACACATCCGGTAATGATTCCGAGTCACTGTCTTAAGGACATTCTAACTACCCCAGTGTCCCTTAAATGAGTGTTCGAACTGTTTTCATTCGGAGTTACAGTTGCATAATTTACGCCCGTCTTTGAGTTTGTGTGTAATCTTTCTTGATAGTGTATTTTTGACTTTTGGAGTAACTTTGTGAATTTTATGAACCTCTCCTGCATAATTTATTACCTTATCGGTGCATTACCCACTTTAATCCGGTTAAATTACTATATTTGATCTTGTTTCCTTTTCGTACAGATTGTAGTGAAGTTAATTTTTTTACGTGTTTTGGGTCTTATTTATGATTTTTTTATAATTATGTTATTTATTTCATTGATGTATTGTCACGACGGGTTCGTTAGTGTTCCCTCTGACTATTTAAGTTTAATTCCAGTTTAATTCCAGTGTGTACTGTGTACGTGTGTATTAATTTCCGAGCGGATTATTCTTAATCAAGAAAACGGTAAGAGTTATGGGACTAGTTTTTTCGGTAAAGTTTTGACTAAACTCTGACGAAGCCAGTAAGCAATTTTTTTAAATCGGCTGTTGGTAAGTCATGGTTTAATTAATGGTTTTGTACCCCAAATGTAATACTAATATGTGAACGACCCCTTACTTTAAAATCCAACAAGAAATGTGAGAAGGAAAACCGACAGAAGAATGACACTTACCCTTTGGATATCTGAACAAAGAAAGGCTCCCATTTAGGTGAATTGCTGCATATTATAATCCCAGTTCTCATTCCTCCGACAATTGATTTGGAAGTCCACTTCGGTACTACGTCCACCTACTCAAAAACTGGCGTTTTAATGGCTTTATTAAACTTCGCTAAAAATAGGAGAGAAGATCAAGTTCAGTAGAATATGAGAGATTTCCTCTAGAGTTGTTTAAATTCAAATTTAGTTTTATGGAATAAGTATAAGGGATTTTATCAATCAGGGAAAACAACAAATAACAAAATTGTTTATTATTGGTAAAAGAAAAATTGGATTTTTTGCTGTACAGGTCTATATATATAATATAAATTTCAACTTAATCGAAGCCAATAGTGATATCACGATAAGTTAAGTTAACTTTAAGCAACTAAGTATTTACTCGAGCTCAAATCACAACTTTAAAGTTTCCATGACGCCTGCATGCACGTATCGTTTGCTAACGCCGAGTGATGATACTACTATTATTATCTCGAATATGGGGAGGGATATAACAGTGCCATAGTGTACGTAAAGTGGGGAAAAAGCCCCCACAAATTATCAAGTAGAATAACTGAAACATCGCTGAATCTCCCGTTTGGTTTCTGCAGCTGTCTCATACTAATACTAATACTAATAGGACATGTTTGCTCCATAAAAACGCTTCATTCAGTCTACCCGCGATCGATTTCACATAGACATTTCAGATAGAGCTGTTGCTGTGATTTATCATTAATGACAGCAGGCTAGCCTTGCATTATGCACTGAGCTTGAGGAACCGCTAAAACTCTTCTGAACATTTTAGAAACTCACTTATAATCTGGCTTTCTTAGCGTATTGGCGGCATTATCAATTATACCGAAGAAACTGGTCCCAAAGCTCTTACCCATTTCATGATAAATCTGTATGTTAATGTGAACATAACCAGAACACAGAACAACCAATACAAAGATTAAGAAGGTAATCCCGGTGCAGCGCCAGTTTTACTTTTATTTTAGTAATAGTATTACACATATCAAATGATTGTGCCAAATTTTGTGCAGACGTCACTGTAATATATACAGCTCTTTCTAGTCCCCTGCTACACGGCATGTAAACAGGGATTGGCTAGTTAGAGGCGGTCCGTGTAGGCCTTACACTGTGCTTTCAGCAATACTCATATATATATAATTATCGATAATTTTGTCAAATTGAATTTAATACTTCTCTGATCACGTAGAAAATTATTGTCAAAACTCAAAAAAAAAATAAATGAGAATACTAACATACGAATCAATATGAAAAGAATCCCCTCAGATTTTATAAGAATAAGAAAATACTCAGCAAAAAACTTTTAATCATTTTCGAAAAAATAACATTAAGCTCCTTCTTCTATTCTGACAGAGATAAATAATACTAATAATCAGCAACTTCAAAACGAATTGTCTCCCGTCGTAGACAGATATTTCTGAATTGTTCTCCTAATCCTATGTAAAAATTGTCGGTAAAAATCAACAAATAAAAACGTCCGAGTTACATGTCATTATCATCTTTTGGCCAGTAAATCTCTTAATGGCGAGCCTGCTAATCTGAAAAAGATGACGTTAATTTTTCTGATTAAATTTAAGACGGTGAGTAGAAAAAATATTTTAAATGAAAGTGTTCAGAGAAGCGCAGTCAGAACTTTAGAAAAGTGTGAAAAAATCGACACTTGTTATTTATAATGTAGTGCTAACAGCTAAGCTAGTATTACATTAAAATTCGCCTCCAGATTTGTTCAGATAAACCCCGATTTATCGTACAGTTTGGAGGAAAGGGAAAATAGTACGGTAAATCGGAGTTTTGACGTAAATCGGGGTTTTGACTCCGCACAGTATGGTTCCCAATTATGAATTATGGGTTATGGTTCACAGGTATTCGAGTAACGGGTGACGACTGACGAGGGGAAGAAACAAGCCTGACAAGGTCGCTCAACCCATGGGGACATGCACCCATTTATGAGAATATGAGCTGTATGTAATGCTAATGTAAGCATTTTTTCCAAAATTTTAGGGGAAAGGAAGAGCTGCACGGTCAACTGGGGTTTTACTGTATCAGACTTCTTAGCAAATATCAGCATTCAAATAAAAGCAAACATTTTTAGAATTTTCATTACGAAATCAAAATGAAAACCAGCGAACTATACAGCGATAACTCTAATAAAGTAAAATAGTACGGGCACGTCTGAACAGGCAGCTGGACAAATCAAGCAACCTACTCTCTTTCATTAAGAGGTTTATCATCCAAGAGCTTTCTAGCTGATCCCGGACCGGATATGTCCATTTTAACGTTGTCCCGCGTTGTCGCTTGTAACGCTTTAGGACCACTGCAGGTTGTGGCGAATTTCGTTATTGACTACAGAAACTGATGATTAAGCAAGCATATTATATGAAGCTGAAGTGCATTGTGCAGCAATCCCGTCATGCGAATGGTATTTTCGGCGTCTAATTCTGTTGTTCACATCAACATAATTACAACACCACAAAGTATATGACTCCTTTGATAGAATTCTAAACGAAATATGACAGATACAGTGTTAAAACAAACTTAAAAAACTTAAGCGGATGTATTAAAACGTACTGACGACAAAACGAGTAGCTTACACGAAGAAAACAACAGCTTGATAAACAATCACGCACAGCAGTAAAGAGGCACAGACATGGCGCTTATATTAATTACACCGTTACAGTGTACGGGTTAATTAGTATAATTACATCGTTACAGTGTACAGGGTTAATTGACCCACCGGTGTGCTGCTGGTACGGACCTACTAGGGGGACCAAACGTGTGCAAATTCCTGACAAATAGAGCTGAATACAGTTCTCACCCTAAAACTTTAAAACATACAGTCAGCAAATGAGCAGTCAAAATAAAAATGAAAATGAACAATCGAAAATCGTGCACCATAGCTGGGAATTTGGATAGTATGAATGATGTTAAGATGCTTCAAAACAGGCACAAAATATGTTTAAAAAGATGAAAATTTTTTCAGGTTCTCCTGTCAAATGACTGCTCCTGGTCTTCTCACATACAGCAGATGGCTAAAACAGCAAGGACGATGACGTCATGGGTCCTTAGCGTATTCAGAGATAGGTCACGCTTCCTCGTGCTCACACTCTACAAAACCATGGTGAGAAGCAAACTCGAATACTGCTGCCCGGTGTGGAACCCTGACAAGATCAGCGATATAGAAGCTATTGAAAGCATCCAACGTCACTACACTCGTCGAATCAGTGGCTGCCAGAACCTTGATTACTGGGAACGCCTGCAGAACCTGAATCTTCTCTCATTACAGAGACGCAGAGAACGATACATCATTATCCATACATGGAAGATGATGAATGGATTAGCTCCGAACGACATCAACATGCAGTTCAAGGAAAGCTCCCGGCACGGTGTAAAAGCCACTGTGCCTGCATTTAACAAAAAGGCACAATGCTCAATCTCGATTATCGACCCATTACGAAAACTCTTTTGGAGTAAAAGCAGCCAAACTATGGAACCCGCTCCCCAAGGAAGTTAACACAATCCAAGTCTTGGAAACTTTCAAATCCTCCCTTGCTAAATTCCTGAAAGGCTTCCCGGATACCCCGCCCACAAAAGGGTATACCGCCATCACAAAAAATTCTCTTCTGGAATGGACTCAAAAACATCTAAGCCAGGAGTGATTGGAGGACGTACTTGATACTGTTGTCCAGAAGCGATCCCTGCCGAGTGCCGAACCTACCTAAAGTAACCTAAAGTAAGAAACTGATATAGTGATATCAACTCAATCTTACATTCAATTTGAAAATTCCAAATGTGAATGCATATCTATAAGGCTAACGCAGTAAAATCGACACTAAATAACTGTAAACTTTGAGTTTGAAAACCAAATAAAGCAAAACCCAGAACGGCAATCCCTGAGCTTGACGGCCCTTACCGCAGGGGTAGTCTATTCAGACTGGAACTGCTCAGACTACCCAGACTGATACGGGACCCGCTGCAGGCCCGTCTGTGGGCAGAGCGTACCAAACAGATGCGCCCTATCTCACTGAGGGTGCGACCCTCATTGAGCCCTCGTTCATACTTTATTTGTCTCATTCCTGACACATCACTCGCGCTTCTCTTGTTCGCTAGCGGCCTTCCGTTTAGTTGGTTAATAATAAATCACGCCAGAATATTTATCAAGCAACCTACACTCTTTCATTAAGAGGTTTATCATCCAAGAGCTTCCTAGCTGATCCCGGACCGGATATGTCCATTTTAACGTTGTCCCGCGTTGTCGCTTGTAACGCTTTAGGACCACTGCAGGTTGTGGCGAATTTCGTTATTGACTACAGAAACTGATGATTAAGCAAGCATATTATATGAAGCTGAAGTGCATTGTGCAGCAATCCCGTCATGCGAATGGTATTTTCGGCGTCTAATTCTGTTGTTCACATCAACATAATTACAACACCACAAAATATATGACTCCTTTGATAGAATTCTAAACTAAATATGAAGGATACAGTGTTAAAACAAACTTGAAAATCGGATGTATTAAAAAGTACTGACAACAAAACGAGTAGCTTACACGAAGAAAACACCAGCTTCATAAACAATCACTCAGTGAAGCGTCACAGACATAGCGTTCTACTAATTAGTATAATAACACCGTTACAGTGTACAGGTTTAATTAGTATAATAACACCGTTACAGTGTACAGGTTTAATTAGTATAATAACACCGTTACAGTGTACAGGTTTAATTAGTATAATAACACCGTTACAGTGTACAGGTTTAATTAGTATAATAACACCGTTACAGTGTACAGGTTTAATTAGTATAATTACACCGTTACAGTGTACAGGGTTAATTAGTAAAATTACACCGTTACAGTGTACAGGGTTAATTAGTATAATTACACCGTTACAGTGTACAGGGTTAATTAGTATAATTACACCGTTACAGTGTACAGGGTTAATTAGTATAATTACACCGTTACAGTGTACAGGGTTAATTAGTATAATTACATTGTTACAGTGTACAGGGTTAATTAGTAAAATTACACCGTTACAGTGTACAGGGTTAATTAGTATAATTACACCGTTACAGTGTACAGGTTTAATTAGTATAATTACACCGTTACAGTGTACAGGGTTAATTAGTATAATTACATCGTTACAGTGTACAGGGTTAATTAGTATAATTACACTGTTACACTGTACAGGGTTAATTAGTATAATTACACCGTTACAGTGTACAGGGTTAATTAGTATAATTAACAATAACAAGTAGTCTCCATTCTACTCTACAACTGCAACTCCTGGGCTGCACCACTAGCTTCGTTGAATGAACTTGATATTGCTCATCGCAAACACCTCCGAAGAATCCTCAACATCAGATGGCCTACTGGGGTTATTTCTAATGAGGCACTCTATGCTCGTTGTTATGTCACTCCCTTGTCTGTGAGAGTCTCTAAGTTTCGATGGAGAATGTTAGGACATATCTTAAGAGGACAGGAAGACTCACCAGCATACACCTCTATGTTATTTGCTATAAATTCTGATATTTTTATGGAAGGGAGACGGGGTAGACCATGTTTAAACTTATTAGATGTTATTAGAAAAGACTTGACTAGTAGAAATCTTGATATTAGACTTAAGAATTTGACTGATTTCGAAGACCTTAGATTTTTAGCTTTAGATAGGGAGGAGTGGAAGAAGTTAGAAGATGGTTGATGTTTTGTTTTCTTTTTTATGCGTTTTGATATCTATAAGGTGCCTAGGATGCTCTTTTAAAGAGATATTTCGTACTTTGAAAGATTTTCTACTACTACTACACCGTTACAGTGTACAGGGTTAATTAGTATAATTACACCGTTACAGGGTACATGGTTAATTAGTATAATTACACCGTTACAGTGTACAGGGTTAATTAGTATAATAACACCGTTACAGTGTACAGGGTTAATTAGTATAATTACACCGTTACAGTGTACAGGGTTAATTAGTATAATTAAACCGTTACAGTGTACAGGTTTAATTAGTATAATAACACCGTTACAGTGTACAGGTTTAATTAGTAAAATTACACCGTTACAGTGTACAGGGTTAATTAGTATAATAACACCGTTACAGTGTACAGGGTTAATTAGTATAATTACACCGTTACAGTGTACAGGGTTAATTAGTATAATTACACCGTTACAGTGTACAGGGTTAATTAGTATAATTACACCGTTACAGTGTACAGGGTTAATTAGTATAATTACACCGTTACAGTGTACAGGGTTAATTAGTATAATTACACCGTTACAGTGTATAGGGTTAATTAGTATAATTACACCGTTACAGTGTACAGGGTTAATTAGTATAATTACACCGTTACAGGGTTAATTGACCCACCGGTGTGCTGCTGGTACGGACCTACTAGGGGGACCAAACGTGTGCAAATCCCTGACAAATAGAGCTGAATACAGTTCTCACCTTAAAACTTTAAAACATCCAGTCAGCATAAAAATGAACAATCGAAAATCGTGCACCATGATAGCTGGGAATTTGGATAGTATGAATGGTGTTAAGATGCTTCAAAACAGGCACAAAATATGTTTAAAAAGCTGAAACTGATATAGTAATATCAACTCAATCTTACATTCAATTTGAATTCCAAAGACCAAATGTGAATGCATATCTATAAGGCTAACGCAGCAAAATCGACACTGAATAACACTAAACTTTGAGTTTGTTAAACCAAATAAAGCAAAACCCAGAACGGCAATCCCTGAGCTTCACGGCCCTTACCGCAGAGGCAGTCTATTCAGACTGGAACTGCTCAGACTACCCAGACTGATACGGGACCCGCTGCTGGCCCGTCTGTGGGCAGAGCGTACCAAACAGATGCGCCCTATCTCACTGAGGGTGCGACCCTCTTTGTCATTGAGCCCTCGTTCATACTTTATTTGTCTCATTCCTGACACATCACTCGCGCTTCTCTTGTTCGCTAGCGGCCTTCCGTTTAGTTGGTTAATAATAAATCACGCCATAATAAACAGCTTCAGACAGCGCGAGGAGAAGAAAATAATCAAATCATAACATTGCAATATATAATTGCGGGAACCTCACCTTTGAGAGATAGGAGAGTCGTAGGACTGTGAAGAAGGTCTGGGAGCTGTGGAGACCCCACCAGGACGAGGTGGAGCTGGCCGAACAGGGTGCATGTTTAACGGCACGTAGCTAGCCGGCTGGTCACCTTCCTAGCAGCAGTGAGTGTGTCAGTGTGTTAAAAGGAGTTGGGGGCTGGGAGAGTGCTGTCATGTAGAATGAGGGATTTATCAGTGAGTCATTGAAATCATTGAAAGTATAATCATGATAAATCAATCAAAGCAATCAACGCAGTAAAAACAAGGAACACGAATTGACAAGAATCACACGAATATATCATTAAGTTTGTCATGATAAAATCAATCAATTTTATTAATAAATCATTGAAAAAAAGAGTAAAATTTAAAATATATACTAAGATGTCACAAAAACACAGCTGTACACATATTTAATATTGATATAAAATAACAAAAATCTGTAAAAAGGACTTTCTTACACTTAATTGTGCATTTTATAAGCGATTGTAAATATTAACTCAGTTTATATAAGGGCCAGTGTAATTAAGGGTCGGGCGTGAAGAAGATTTTTGAAAACTCCTGCACACAATTATTAGAGACTCTTTCAGTTCTAAACGATTCCTTATTAATCACTGCACGATTCCACGTACATTGTACGATTACAGACACACAATTTGCTGCATGCATTAAAATGGATCAGACAAGATTTATCTAGCTTGCGACACGATGCAACATAAATATTTTACGTGCCAGCTGGTGTTAGAGGTAGTGCTAAAAAGAAGAACAGCAGAATAAACCCAGGTAGATAGTGCTAAAAAGAAGAACAGATTAGCAGGTCAAACCCAAAACCCCATCACTATAGTCACCGCTCTTCGCTATATACCTGACAGACAAGAGGCTCCGGTCGATATATAACTGACACAGGGGCAGAGTTTTGCTGGTAGGTAGCGGCAGGACGAGAGGGCGGTGCCCCACTGATAGTGGAGGAGCGAGGGGGTGGTCCCCCACTAGCTGTAGAGGGGTGTCGTGACCCTCCGCTGGTGGAGGAAGGCCTCGCTCCGGCGTTGAAAGCAGATGTTGTCCAGCCTGTGCTGGTGAGGTAGCTGCCAGGAGGTCGAGGTGGGGGTTCGTTGCCAGTGCTGCTGGTACTGGGCAGCTTCACCGGCCGAGGGGGTGGGTTTGTGGTTCCCGGCTGTTCAAAATAGGCAAAGCTATATCACACACAGTTAGTAACACAGTAACACGGTAAACACTAGCGGGTACAGACATTTATCACCAGTTTTTAAAAACAACTGTGGTTTTACCTTACACTTGCAGCTACGACAACTGTTTGATATGAGAAACCTACCTTGGCTGTTTTGCCATTAGCTGTTTTACTGCTGTCAGGGTTGCTTCTTTTAGAACTCCTCCTCAAATAGGAAGGTCTTCGACTAATTGAGGGTAGGTGTATCGAGAACCGTCTGAAAATTCAGAATTATCCGTACCAACCTTTGTTAAGATTACCTGCCTGTGATTAGGGACCGACCGGTCTGGGGTTTTGGCTGCCGGACCGGAACCGGGTGTTTAGAAGGTTACTACGTAATCCGACATAGTGTGATTTAGCCAAAACTTGTGATTAAGCCATGCCAGAACTTGTTAAACAGCATCAGATCTCGAGATCAGACTGCAAAGACCCGACATGTTACCTGAGTACTCAAAATCATATTTTTTTAAATGAATATGTCCTGTACATTCTTTAAATTTCCGGTTGATATCCGGCCAAGCACCTTCAAAACCGGACCGGAACCAGAACCGGATACCGAAGCTTGATATCCGGTCGGTTCCTATCCATAATCTTTGCATTCTCGGGCGGGTAGTATTTTTATTAAGCAATGGAAATTCAACATATCAGTCATCAAGTCAGCATTAGTATTATTACCCAATATTTACGTTATTAATAGCAGCACCTTGTAAAGGGTGCGATTCTTTATGTGTATGGTCACCTAACTAGGAGAGGTTGCAAGTTCCATTATAATGTCGACTTAATTATCGGAGCTACCCAATTTTTAAATGGCGTGACAGCAATCAATCATCATTGCAAAGTCCTAGACGAACGTTATTCATTTGTCCCAGAAATCACTTACATTTGAGTGTGATGATCGAAGAATTCTTTAACTTTAGGGTTGTATCTTCTACACAGTAATAAAGTTATGATGCCACTGGGTATAACAACTAGAACGATTATCATAACCGCTATCAGAATCGACTTCAAATCCCATCCGGCTACCTCTATAAAAATGTATCAAAATTAGAGGAGAAAAAACGTAACAACTAACACATTTTCTCAAATGGTTCGTAACACATTTCAAGCATTTAAAAGCAGTACAAGCATTAAGTATCGTAATTGGACAAGGATGCTATAACGAAACTGTTACTACAGATCCAAATATTAAAACACTCCCACAATATGACTAACGGAGGAGCACAGAGCAATTAAACTCAGGATCATATCCAGCATTGCAGTGACACTGGTTGAGATCGTTACAGTTCCCTTGTCCGCCACACTCCACGCCACCCGGGGAGGGACAAGCCACTTTCTCAAACTCCACGCATTGTCCCGCAATACACCACTGAGGGGTGGGCTGGTCATCCTTTACAATTCTCTTATCTACAATCTACCTTAGTTTTTTACTATACCATCGTTGAAATTTTTCAAATAAACTTTAAAATAATAGGAATACAAAACGGCTTACCTTAGAGTCGCCGCACTTAGTGCCGTCGTACACCATGGCAACGTCCTGACTCTCGATGGAGCGCGGTCCAGCGGCCAGTGTGCACTCGTAAGTCGAGTTGTACGTCAGATCATTGCGGTAAACATGCCGGAGATTGGTGGTCCGTCCCTCTGGAACCTCGCAGTACAGCTTACCGCACAAAACGTCACTAGTGGGTGTGAGCCGGGTTAGTTAGTAGCTGATGGTGGAACTGAAGTTTTGCTGGTGAACTAAAAAATATTAGGAGTATTAATATGATTTACAATTTATAAATAGGACTGCCTCATGCATGAAGAACATAAGGTCATATTGCGTGGGTGGCTCGGTGCTAACCACTCACAACACCATCAACAGGTTTACAACTCATGGATCTGGTATTGGAATAATTGTCGAATATAATAATATCATTACGAAGAAGCCACGCCACTAGCTGACATATAAAGGAGAAATTTGAAATACTTGTACCACGTTTTAGAGAATTTAGGATTTGTTTCACTGTCAACTACACATGAAATTGCTTAGAGCTTCTACATGTAATATACATTACATACATTAATACATATTACAAACTGAATACTATACATGTAATATATCACGGGAACCGTGCGAACAACCGTAGATAGCAGATTCAACTTTCACTGTCGTTATGTTAGTGAACATTAAAAATAATTGACGAAACGTAACTCAACAAACTCACCGATCCATACAAGCAAGGAATTTTCTGTCGCCCAGAGAGCCACAATTGCCGTACCATTCACCCTTCCTGTTGAACCGTTCATAGCACACATTATCACTAACTGCCACACCTTCACCCCACAAACTAGTACACTGAGTACCCAGAGTCTGACAGCTGCCATAGTTACAAGACCCGCTGCCTTCCCCACACAGCGTACCGTCTTGGGTGTACCGGTTTGTTGGACACTGACATATTTTATTAATGTTAGGACGCTTTTTAAAACGGATCATCTAACTTAGAATTAGAAAAATTGTTTATATCATAACGAACAGATTACAGAATTACGTTGTTGATAATACACTCAAACAGTTTGATTTTAACTGAACTAAACCTGAGAGTTTGTTCCGGTGCAGAACTCCACGAGATCGCACTCTGAAGAGGCGGGGCGGCACATCCTTTTGTAGCTTACAAACTGGCATTCTTCACAGCAGTCACCAGAGTAACACTGGAGAGGGTGATGTAGTAAGTTGTAGAACAATCACTCTAACCTTTATTTACCAACCAACGAATATACCTGAATATTACAACTACGTTGTAGATAAATATATATTTGTACATACCTTTGCTCCGGGTTTCAGTTTACAGCCGATCGGCTCGCAGCAAGGGTCACTGGCAATACATTCCTGAAATGGAGAGCATATTTAGCAGTCTAGAAAAAGCAAGAATTCTTTAAAAGTTTAAATTTGCATGTTTTATGAAAATTGTAATCCGAATTAGAATACTCTAACACTCTCCTCTCACTTACCTCCTCAGTCCCACAGTCACACTCCTCAGTCCTCACCCTCCTCTCACTTACCTCCTCAGTCCCACAGTCACACTCCTCTCCCTCCTCTCACTTACCTCCTCGGTCCCACAGTCACACTCCTCACCCTCCTCTCACTTACCTCCTCGGTCCCACAGTCACACTCCTCACCCTCCTCTCACTTACCTCCTCAGTCCCACAGTCACACTCCTCTCCCTCCTCTCACTTACCTCCTCAGTCCCACAGTCACACTCCTCACCCTCCTCTCACTTACCTCCTCAGTCTCACAGTCACACTCCTCACCCTCCTCCCACTTACCTCCTCAGTCCCACAGTCACACTCCTCACCCTCTTCCACAAATCCGTTCCCGCACACCGGGTCCCCGTAAAGAGTTTTGGGCTGGTTGTTGAGACACGTTCCAGTAAAGGAATCCAGGACTAGCTGACTACAGTTACTAAAGACGGAGGCTGCTTTACCCATTGAATCGGACATCAAACAGTCCCAGCTGATTTCTGGTGGGCACACACATTCATCTGATAAGATTAAGGAGTTAAAATCAGTTTTACCCAGATAATCAGCTAAGTATTTACTTTTTCTACAGAGCTAATTTTCTCCGTGAAATTATCTGATAGCAGCGGAAGATATTTTTATGATATAAGGTATTTTATTGTGTATTCGTCACGAATTATGAATTAAATTAGGAATTATAGTAACTGTTACAGAGAAGACAGCTCTATTTCATGACACAGATGTTTCAATTTTTCTAAAACACAATTCTGCTAAAGAAGGTATCTGTGCTCTCACCACTGTCATGGTACATTCCAAAGTTATGACCCATCTCGTGAGCTATGACAGAAGCGTAGAAGCCTACTGACTTCCTGGAGTTGAAGTTGACGCTTGCACAGCTGCTCCGACACATAGTGTCAACTCCAGCGTATCCTATCACTGCTCCGTCAAAATCTACTGCCCTGAAACAATTAACATGTTATATTTAATCATTTATGCGTATCTGTATAATAGTATAATACACTGATAATGTAGTTATGAATAATATAGTTATAATAATTTATTCGACTCGATTTATCAGACAACCTAACATGACTTGTCTGGAAGGAGACAATTAACATAAAAAAGATACTGATCACAACATACTGATCACTGATACGAAACAAGAGCTGATGAACAGGATACTGATAATCAAGATACTGAAGATAAGAACGATAAGAAACTCACGTCATGAGTATACTGACATCATGTTGTTTATACACGTTAAGAAGCTTCTCCTGTCTGTACATTGTAAAGTTTCTCAGAACAGCGGAGTAACTGGGGGTGACTGTTATCATATCTGCTACTCTCCAGTTCTCCATCCCGACCAGGGCTATTCGTACACCGTACTTCTTGTAGATCTGCAAATATTTTATTAGTTATAAATAATATCATATTAAGGACCCATGTACATTTCTAAGCATTGATTTCGACGTTTCACTGTATCCAATGAAAAGATGTCGCTCTAGTGTCAGCTGTCTGTGTAAAGACAGTCTTAATAACGTCAAGTCTCGCTTTAACTGTCTAGCGGTAATGATATTTGACGGAATACAACCAACTTGTGATTAATCTCCATTTAGATCCAGGCTTTTTAAGAGCATCTGGATCGATTAATCACGTAACAGCATGAGAAACTCCGGCACTATTTACATCTTCAAACAAGAATCACTGTATTATTCGGACAGTGCTTTTGTACCTTTTGTGTGATGTTACTTCTGAAATTGACTACTCTACTCATCTTCAGGACTAGAGTTGAAGCAGGTTTGCTAATAAATGATTTAGTTACCTGATAACCAAATAATCAATGTAGGGAATATATAATAATCATGGTACTCCGATGACTGGAAAGAGGGAATAAGAAATCTACACAATGTTTAACATAACTTCACAAATTTTAATCATGTAGAGCCATTCTATTATTTTATAACATATTATTTTCAGATTCCAGTTTTAGACTTGTAAAAAGCAGCGGAGAATATATGGATATAATGAGTGAAAAACTAGGTCTGTTGCTTTACCAAGAGGCAAAAGTTTGCGACATTAACCACACTTTTAACATCAAGTCTGCTAATGCTATCTGCAAAGAGATGGGCTATGCTAGAGCTATAGACTGGAATGTGGACCATATATGGGATGTGCAATACGAGTTTGAAACGAAAATAGGAACAGTCCAATGTGAGACTGATGACTGGTCCACGTGTAGCTACGATATACTATATAAGTGTGGATATGAAAATGACGTCTTCCTTAGTTGCGAAACACCAGGTTATGAGCCAAATATTAGGTATTCTTAGAGAGGAAACGAGAGATATGGTATGCGTGTTTTAAGTTTCGTTTCGCACAACTTAAAATTTTAACTTTGGAAGTATGTCCTGCCATGTTAGCATTTTCAAACATTAATTATTTTCAGATTTCAGTTTCAAACTCGTGAACAGCGGCGGAGAACAAATGGATATGGTTATAAATCCAGGTCTGCTGCTTTACCAAGGGAGAAAAGTTTGCGACTATTACCACACTTTTAACATCAAGTCTGCTAATGCTATCTGCAAAGAGATGGGCTATGCTAGAGCTATAGACTGGAATGTGGGCCATATATGGGATGTGCAATACGAGTTTGAAACGAAAATAGGAAAAGTCCAATGTGAGACTGATGAGTGGTTCACATGTAGTTACGATATTGTAGCAGATTGTGGATATGAAAATGACGTATTTCTCGGTTGTGACATATTCCCATCATGTCCACCAGGCAAGTTCCGGTTTTACGAACATTGTGAGTCTTGTCACCCTAACACCTACAAGGCAGTCGAAGGGAGCCAAACCTCCTGTACAGATTGTCCTGATGCATCCACTTCAACTGCAGGTGCAGCATATTGCTCCTGTCAGATAGGAATGTATTGGAATGGAGTAGCATGTAAGAAGTGCCCACAAGGCTCCGTCAGCCGTGAAGGATCTAGAGAATGCACAGAATGTCCTTCTGACTCAATTGCTTCAGACGAAGGTTCATCCTGTAGTTGCGGAGCAGGGGAGATATGGAACTGGGAGGGAGAAGATGGGTCGTGTAAGTTATGTCCTTCAAACACCTTTAAAAACCAGTATGTACAGACCTGTACCAACTGCCCAGACTTCACGACATCTGTTGCAGGCTCCGAACACTGTTCTTGCAAGGCAGGTATGTTCTGGAACAAGGCAAGCTGCATAATCTGCCCGGAAATCTCTGCTAGCAATAGAGGTGCTCTAAAGTGCACTGAATGTCCAGCAGGCTCGTCTCCTGAAAACAATAGTACCTCCTGCAGCTGCCCCGCTGGGACTGTGTGGAAATGGGATGAAGAAGGTGGTAGTTCCTGTAAACCATGTCCAACAGGCACATACAGGAACAACCAGATGGAACATTGTGAAAGTTGCCCCAATCTATCCTCCTCTATAATCGGGTCTGAGAGTTGCTCCTGCTTACCTGGAACGTACATGGACCGTGATGTGGGATTGTGTATGATATGCCCTCTAGGAACAACATCCAGGACAGGGTCTGAGATCTGCTCTTGTCCAGCCGGAATGTTCTGGAACGAGAACAGGTGTTATAACTGTGCCAAAAATGAGGCTAGCCAAGCAGGTTCCCTCCAGTGTTTCCCATGTCCCGGTGATTATACGACATTAAACAACAGTACTTTTTGCATATGTCCAGCAGGCTTGGAGTGGACTTGGGATGATTACAAGTCTGGTTCATGCAGGCTCTGTCCATGGGGCTCTTATAAAACTGAAGAAATGGAGTCTTGCGAAGCTTGTCCAAAAGGAAAATTTCCAGAAGTAGGTTCTGAGCATTGTATTTGTCCTGCAGGCAAATTCTGGAACAATACAAGCTGTCAAGAATGTGGTGTGAGCTCTGCCAGCCAAGAAGGTGCTTTGCACTGTTCATCGTGTCCGTTAGAATCTGCTTCATTAAACGAAGGGTCAGAGTGTACATGTCCAGTAGGTATGAAATGGAGTTGGGATGAGCAATATCTCGGTACTTGTAAGCCCTGTCCACCAGGATTCTACAAGAGTAAGCAGATGACAGCCTGCTCTACTTGTCCTCTGGGAACAACATCTGCTGTGGGCACTGACCACTGTTCTTGTAAAGCAGGTATGTTCTGGAACCAGACTCGATGTGAGAACTGCGAAACGGGTTCTGTAAGTCAAGAAGGTGCAGTTCACTGTGAGGCTTGCCCCCCAGATTCAATCTCAAACACAGGAAATAGGGTTTGTAACTGTCTAGGTGACGCAACATGGAGTTGGGATGAGCTTGGGGTGGGTTCTTGTAACCCTCTCTCAAACGGCATCACGCAGAATCTTCAACAGAACCTTCAGCAAACTCTACCATTGGACCTGACTTCTGTTGAAATACACGCTTCCATCTCAGGTCTCCTGATGGTACTCAATGTTATCCTAGCTACACTTCTCATTCTAGAGAGGAGGAAAGCTAAGAGGTGTGAAGCCGAGGTTGCATATGATGCTGTTGCTGGAAGAGTTCAAATAATTAAGGTTGAAGTGAACAAAGACCAGAATAGTAAAATACAACACCCAAAAGAAGATCTGCCAGGAAAAGAAGCATCTCTTGATATAGACGGTGATGTTGCAAATGATACTGTTGCTGCAGGTGTTCAAATAATTGAGGTAGAAGTGAACGATGACCAGAATAGTACAATACAACACCCAAAAGAAGATCTGCCAGGAAAAGAAGCATCTCTTGATATAGACGGTGATGTTGCAAATGATACTGTTGCTGAAGGTGTTCAAATAATTGAGGTAAAAGTGAACGATGACCAGAATAGTACAATACAACACCCAAAAGAAGATTTGCAAGGAAAAGAGGCATGCTGTGATAAATACTGTGATGTCCAGGGCTCACACGAAACGGAGAACATTTACGAAACAATGGACATATAGTAACCATGTTACTGGAATACTTTGATGCGAATATTTACTTTATCCTTTCTACAATTTAAGTTTGCTATTTGATTCTTTGACACTTTCCATCACACGACGATTGATCATTATTCATTATTCATGTACTCAAAATTCTGTCCCTTGAAGTTATAATATTCCCGGAACCACCTGTTCTATAACTTTGTGTAATCCAAACGAACATGATAATCTCAAACCTCGTCTATTTTAGCGACAGTAACGAGAACGAACATGATAATCTCAAACCTCGTCTATTTTTGCGACAGTAGCGATAACGAACATGATAATCTCAAACCTCGTCTATTTTAGCGACAGTAGCAAGAACGAACTCTTCCACCTCCTCGATCTTAGTGTCGAACTGCTGCCAAAAGGATCTGTCAGTCACCACTACCACTTCTACTGTCTTGTGTGTTGCTATTATTGGGTCAGTGGACAGACCTCTTTTGTATAATGGGTGATAAGGGACGGGTCGGGAAATGCTGTGGTTTAACTCTATACCGTTATACTCTGAGGAAAGTATTACGTTAGATCCTGATGCGATTATAGCTACATTTGATGGCTAAGCAAAACTATACAGTATTTATTTGAGAAAAGTACACTGTCAACTGATAAGATATATGATGTTGTAGACATACCGCCGGTAGCTATTTCGTAAGGGTTGGGGAGGTCATTATCAGAGAACATTACATAGGTTTCCTTATCATACACCACATACCATGTGTTATTCACATCAGTTAAACTACCTCTGAAATATATTAAGCAAGAGTTCAGGAAATTTTATTGCAACGATTATATCGACTTGATTTTCATATTCCCTGAAATGTGAATTAATTTAAATCGGAAAAAAAAAGAAAAACTTCCCCACTGCACAATAAATATAAAACCGATTAATTATATCGAGAAACAGATGTGACACGACCGTTTGCCAGTTACCTGATTCTTCCAGAACAAGTACTGAGCATAACAAGATATTGGGGCTTATCCCTTACGGTACCCCGGTAGTGACAGTCAGTCTTCAACTCATGTTGTATTCGTGTGTTGTGAGTTACAGTGTGCCTCTTAGCGCCGGCTATCACTGCTTCCCTGGTAGATTTGGAGGTAAAATATGAGATAATAACGGTTAGGTTATCATTGTAATCGGTGACTTAATTTAATACCAGGCACCACATTTCAATGTAAATTGAACATCTCGTCATATTATGTATCATCATTGGTGATTCAACTTACGAATATTTGCGAATAGTTCACTACTCAATTACCTAGAATACTCACTAATCGATTACCTAGAATCCTTATTATTCAGTACTCATAACTCACTACAACTACTTTATCGATAGTCTAGCTTATTTAGCTATATCCGTATATAATGTATCCGATATAATATATTATATACTGGCTCGCGCGCATGCAATTCAATTATTTAATTAATAAGAACACTCGTGTTGCGCGACAAGTCACATCTCGTTTACAGCGCGCGTTACAGTATCCTAAATAAGTAGACCCTTTCGAAGCATGTGGGAATCAGCGATGAGGCGATTATTGTCAACAGCTCAAGATTTAGGAATCAGGAAGTCAAATGGAAATACACCAGATCAGCATGTTCTACTCGCTCTAAACAGCCGCCAGGAAGCAGGTCTCGGTACATAAAGGGATTTATCTTATCCCGCAATGTGCAGTAAGTGTATGGATGTTTAACCAATGACAAATAAGTTATGTCCAAGTCAAGAATTAGCCAATTCCTTTCTGTCTTATTCATTGATTGTCACAAATACTAGGTTTAATTACGGAGATATTCAATTTGCATTATAGCAACGTATAGCAGCCATGTGCTAATGTGCGGGTATGTGGTGGTCACCCGTTGTGAAAATATCCACTTCAGTAAGAGCTGCTTCCTTGACCAAAATAAACATTTTAACAACTGCTAATGTTCAATTACCTGTTGATTCTGGCGTCTAAAATTAGTCTGCCGAGAGATTGGGAGTGTAACTTACTTCTAAACTTGACGCGTCCTGAAAATCCATTACTTTGTTCTCAACTCAAAACGTCATGATCACGTCTTGTTATATAGAATTGTATTTCTGGATATTTGTAATGATAAAACAGGAAACTAAACTATGCATACCAGTATATCATTGCCAACACGAGATTTAAGTAAATAAAATAAGTAAAACTTACCCTAGTGTCGGCTGATAACTGTATAACTTCTCTTGTTTTAGGTATATCTGAAACATAGTCAATTATTCGGCAAAAATGTACACTCAGTTTTAACTTTTGAGTATGAGAGTGTTACAATGATGTCATCCTATCATAGAGTACTTATCATGCAGAATGCTAACATTCACACATCTACATACCTTCCTTAAATACATTCCGGTACCTTACTAATATAATATATAATGCAGATTTGGGACACATTATAAACTACTCGCTTTTTCTATGCTTGTCGCTTTTGTCATGTCACTTAAAATATACGGAGATATGTTTCACATTTACATAACGTTTAATTTGATTTTTCCCAGCGAATGCCACCATGACATTATCATATATTATGCACTAGAAATTAAGCATAAATACAGCTTATCATATTAACAAGTTTGTAAAAGTTAAAAAGGTCTTAGAGTTAAACTTTGTGTTTAACAAATACAAGAAAGCTTGGAACCATAAGATCCCTCTGAGCAAGAGGCTACTGTTGTATGAGGCTCTGGTAGTATCCGTTTTAATGTACAATTCATCTTGCTGGGCTGCCCTTAAATCAGTGTTGGAAAAACTAGATATTTAGTGTAATATGGTAAGCTAAGTGCAGCAGGGTTTAGGCTTTTTGGATCTTTTAGAATATTCTAGTATAAGTGTTAATTAACCGTTAGGATTAGTGTAAGATTAGATTAGATTAGTGTAATAGATTATGGATGGTTTTGCGGAGGTAGACACGTGTTAGTCAGGTTAGCTAGTTAAGTTAGGTTATTGGACAGACTGGGCCGCGCTGTGTCACGTGGTTCGCCATGTGATGTCACGTGAGTCGTGACCCAGTGCTGGTAGTGTTTGCTTGCCCCGTTACTCGTTAGCGGCAGTTCTTCGAGGAGCATTTAACGGTAAGGTTGTAAAAGTTACCGCTTCCGAGAACAGTGTAGCGTGGCCTTCGAGTCGCTAGTCTTGGTATATTGATCAAATAGTAATATATTGCCCTTCGAGACTTATTGTTCGAATACCCTGTTTCCTTTGTTCTTACCTAACTTAGGACTCGATAAAGTCATATTTTTTTAGAAAAACTAGATATTGCTCACAGACGTCATCTGCGATCAATTTTGAATTACAAATACCCTCACATCATTTCCAACAAAAACTTGTATAAACGCTGCAATAGCGAACCATTGTCAGCTAAAGTGGCTCGTAGTCGGTGGAGGATGCTCGGACATGTACTGCGTGGGCCTACAGATGGTCCAGCCTATTCGTCGCTTGTTTTTGCTGTTAACACCTTACACCTTCAAGGGTGGCGTGGAAGACTGCAGTCAAACCTTTTCTCACTGATTCTACAAGACCTTAGTGTTCGAAAATTATCGTTGAATAATTTATGTGATTTGAACTATTTAACGTTAATTGCTCAGAATAGAGTTAAATGGAGAAGTATGCAAATTGCATGACTTTTGTTTGAGAAAAATTAGGGGACAGAAATGTTTACTTTGTTTACTATCTGTTTCTTAGAGCTTTTGTTTATAAGAGTTAAAATAATTACAACACTTACTTTACATGTAACACAATGAGTGGAGCCTAACAGCTAAGCTGTGTGTTGTGAGTACAGTACAGTATCTGTAAACAATGATTTTATTGCTGCTGCTTACTTTCTTCATTAAGCCTTGTATTTAGCCTATAAAATTACATTTTTAAGACCTACACTTACCAAGATTTTTTTAAATGTGTCAAATATTGTATGTTATTGTAAATTCAATTACAGGCTAACAGTTTTATAGAAATATTCCACCAATGTTAAACATTACACGGTGACCACATGTACCATTACATTAGGTCCACAGGAATGCAGCCTGGCTATTAGGTTCATCAGGGTGCTTTAACTGGTGCTAAGATAGGTGCTAATATATTCAACAATTAGCAACCCACTACAACGTAACATTCCAGTACAGAGTGAACTTGTGAGACTTCACTTTCCACAGAAATCAGTAGTATCTGTACCTTGATAGCTGACAGCTGTAGAGTCTAGACGCTGTATTGATCTAAACATATCCATTATTGATGGGTATTGGGTATTAATGCAGATATTGACAGTATTTAATCAAGGTTGGTGATATGGACAGTGCCAGTACAAAGACACAGGTTTTGATTTATAATCCAAGCTGTAATGCATTCTTTACAAATCGTTTGATTTTGAACAATGAACAGTGAATATAATATGTAATATTAATAGAGAACAGTGATATTCATTGTGATTTATATTACGATGAGAGTTACAGTGATAAGATAAGAAGACAATGCTACATTACTCAATATACACATTGCAGTGTTTATATGAGCAGCATTATTATCAAACTATAGCTCAGCATCTGCAGTGCAGATGCTGAGCTATAGTTCTGCACCGTGTAAAACTAGCCAACAAAAGAGAAAAAGACACAATTCTCTAATTTGTTGAGAGTTTACTTTGTTTGTATCATGGAGACCAGCTTCGTGTACTGGACCATGTTTACTCAAACTTTATATGAAATATAATTAAAGATACAACATTACTTCAGAAGTAACGTTAAATATATAGTCCCTTCTAACCTAATGATATATAGTATTATACATATAATATATTTATTTTAAACTAATTACAACACTACAAATCTATTACATTTATTGAAAATTATGTAATGTAACGCGATGGAAGTATTCTAAGCGGGCATATCCTGTCCAAACCCAGGATGCACGACATAAAGAATTTGTTTTAACTTGTTTGTATGAAAAGCATCAATATACCTGATTACTGTGATTGTTTACAAACATGAAATAAAACTTGTTATTGAAAACCTTTTCCCGAGAGGAACACCAATTTGGTGGGCCAGTCAAAATTAACTATGTTAATTAGGTTCTCGAATAATATTCAGTCCGGTATGATCACTCGAAAAAGCAAAATAATGAACGTAAAATGTGCAGCAAATGCTCATACCAGCAAAATCGCATAGAAACAAATAGTTCGTCAATAATACTGTTACACTAGACCTTATTGAATGACAATAGAGTCTAGAGAATTTACAAATTCTGTTCATTTACCCAGCCTATAGATTATAGCTATAATGATTAACTTTTATCAGATTTTCCGCAGTAAAACATGTGATATATTGCGACCTACCGTTAATTATGGATATTATTAAATTAGCAATTAAAACCCAGTGCACACACAGCGTGGTTACTAATTTTAGCAGATTGTATACGCTGGTGCTGAATAACATATTTCCGTGTATGTGACACATTCCATAATGTGCACTGCTTGTAGCTGCAGCAGACACAGGTATTTCTATCCTGGTTTTAGCGCCAAAAATACTAAAATCTTAAATATATCAGTCTGGAACAATCATTTATAACCTATTGTAGATGAGCTAATATTTGAATAGAATGTAATGATAACGCTTTATCAGCAATGAATGCGGTCATTGGTCATCAACAGTGGTATTTGACGTGCATTCTTGTAACCAAATACAGTAACCTACTGTACAGTGTACACAATGCTGGTACAGTACCTTCAGTAAAAATAAATACAGTCAATGGTAGCGTAATAGCCGTAGTAATAGCGGGTAGTAACTAAGTAGTGTAATAGCAGGTAGTAACTAAGTAGTGTAATAGCAGGCAGTAGTAGTAATAGCGGGTAGTAACTAAGTAGTGTAATAGTAGGCAGTAGTGTAATAGCAGGTAGTAACTAAGTAGTGTAATATAGCAGCCAATACCACAGTTGAGTAGTCAGATAAGAGTCTAGTGTTTTAATATGGGTAAAATCAGCAAGCTTCTTTTAACCAACACATTATTACACACAACTAGTACTTGTCACCATTCTGTAACTTGCCAATCACACGTACTTGTGATACTTGTGATACTTGTGATTGATTCATATCAACCACACACCACCATGAGCATACTACATTATATTATATCGGGTATGCACTAATCACTATACACTATACAGTATACACTATACAGTATACATTGGTCACACCTTAGCAGTTATCACCCAACAATATCTCTAGTAGCGTCTCTATTTTAATTCCCCTTGGGACCACCATAATACATTATACATGCAACTCCAGTTATTAATCGCTCAAATAATGTGTTATTTTAGGTTTTAACATGTGTATGTACATACTGTTGAAGGTTATGTAATTAAGGCGTTTTTCTGGTTTTATTTTCACGAAACCAGATTGTATTTGTAATAATTTATGCGTTTAATGATTCGGAGCTGTCACAATTATATAATTTGATGGTAGAGCTACAAATATCATAATATGCTTAGATAACAATAGCAAACCTCATTATTCTGCCAAGTGACCTTGATCTACTATTAACTATCATGAAATAATTGGGTAATATATAGTGCAGCTGTTTCGATGTAAGACTAATAATTGCTTAAAATAGGAAGACTAATAAATCGACTGTTTCTAATTAAACATTTCGTTAATACAGTGAAACATCAATAAAATCACCCGACCAGCCAAGTGAGCTAACTCCGGACCAAAAAATTATCGGAAATTTTTAAAAGCCAAAACTGTGATGGTAAAATTGTAAATCTCCCAGACCAACTTACTCTTATCTGGCCATTTATGTTCCGGTCTTCGGACCTTTTTAAACAAATGGCCTAACGAACAGTCTCAATCTAGTTCGGAGAATGAAGTTTCACTGTTTATAATTTAAAACTCACCACCCCAGTAAGAGCCTAATGTTGAGGATAACAACGTTATCAGGACTATAATAGCAGTGCATCTTATCACCATCGCATTCTAGAAACAATGTTTTATTATCAATATCAAGATTTTATTGTATCATGTAACATGAGTTAAAGTTAGTATCTCTGTAATAGCTTACTCTTAGGGTAGTAATCCACTAGGTGATCAAAGATCAACCCTGACCGTTTTTAAGGTTCAGAGTTTTTCGAGGTGAAGAATGTCGTGATGATTAACTATGGAGACTAATTAACACCTAGTTTGATCATGCTGCAAAACGTTCCGACTTTGACAGCATGGAAGAGGAGCTAACATCCAGTCTGAAGGAAACTATTAAAAACGTGAAGGTCAGGACTGCCAGAGTCAAAGACATTGATCCACACCTATGTGCTGGATACTCCTATCCTTTTCTCATGTGTGGAACAAACGATCTACGATGTGATTATGTGAAGAAAGAATCATATATGCACCAAACTGTGTTTCAACTTAAAGATAAACTACATGAAATAAGACACCTTGGTCCAAAACAAAAACTTTTGTTGTACCTGTGTACGTAATTAACCTCAAGAATTCTTAAGATGACCAATGAAATTATGCTTTATAATAACCGAGTTCACTGTTCAGGACATGATGTTGGCAATCTGTTTTCTTAATATTTTGTGTGTTAGAGGGAGAAATATGGATAATAATGATAATGAAATCGATTGAGGAATAAAGAGGTCTGTTAGCCATGCTCAAAGCCCATCAAAATTGGGCTGTGAGTCCTGCCAGACAGCTATTTATACCGGGTTCCACCCCACCAATTAACGAGCTTTGTGGAAAAAATCAAGAGCCAGCTTATCCATAGGGGAGCAGGGTCTAACCAGAGTTAAGCCACATACCCATGGCTGCGGCTGTTACATAACTCCAATGTCAATTGTAATTGTAGGAAATTTTAATTAACATTAGAACCCATTTTTACTGAGACACGGAAGTAATTTTACCTAAGTCCCGAAGTTGTTACCACACTAAAATATAGTTCATTTACAAAAATATACAAATTACATGACTACAAGAGTCCATCTAAAAATATATAGAGTCCATCTACTGTGGCCACAATGTGCCCCATACAGAGAATAGAGCCCACAGGTATCAGATCTCTAAGCAGTGGCGTAACAAAGGGCCCCGCCGACCCCACTGTGCGCAATCTTAGGCAGCTACAAATTAGGCAGCTGCAGAAAAGATGCCAAGCGCGCTCAGCGTACGTCTTTTCGTTTTTGATTTTACAAATGACAAAGCAACTTTTAATGATTATTAATGGAACTATCGGATATTTATAATTCAATATGTATTGATTCTTCTGTGGAAAATAAAAATTGTATTTTACTTAAATTGTATTTTACTTAGGGGGGGGGGGGGGGGGAAACTGCGCGTTTTGCTCTAAAAACACACTTTTTTAGAGATTACACCAGCGTATCCTCTAAAATCATCTAATTCGTTCAATTTTAGGGAGGAGCGCCAAAAGGGGAGGGGGCGCCAACAGGGAGGCACTTTTTAAACGGGGCGTGCCAACAGGCCAACTGCTGAAATCGACACCTAATGAATTGTTGAAAGCAGAATAATACCTACACCAATATGATCTTACTGGGCCGCGCTCAGCCTGTCATTCCGCCTAATCTCTATTCTATCATTGTTTATGAACATGATAGCCTGAGGTCCCAGGTAAATATGATCTTGAAGCATGCCCTGTGCTGAGCGAGTACGTTTGCCTACAGTGTAGGCTGTGATACAGTCAACAATGCAAGTAATGTGCAACATGGTGGGCTATACCGTTAGCAGTTATCCCATCCATATTAAAGATTGAAAACGTAAATCCAGTCTTTCACATAGCCATGTGTCTACGCATACTGCTTGACGCGCTTGTTTCACAAGTAGAATAGCCCGGTCGCGCGCTACTGCAAGCGAGAGGGCTCTGGTTAGAGCAAATCCAGTCTACAAGCAGCTCTATACCTTTTTTACTACTAATGACATTCTCAATGAGGAACAATTTGTTTTTAGGAAAGGTCACTCAACCCTACATGCACTCCACAAATAAGTTGATTCGATCACGACATCCAGTGCCCCATTGGTCATCTAAGATTTAGGAATCTTCATTTATCTTTGCAAAGCTTTTGATACTCTGGCAGACTTCATTTCTCAATACAAGATACCACATCAGAGTCTATGTATGTAAAATAAGGTTCCATACTAAGTCCACTGCTTTTCTTGTTCGTGTAATATATGAATGACACAATGAACTGCGACGATTTTGTGCTTTATGCTGATGGTACAAGTATATGTTTGATACATGTAATACGTAATACGTATCACAAACATCAGAGACATTATTTTCCGCCTTCGCGAAAAGTGGCATGCAACGTACGTCAAGTATATACTGAGCGGCGCTCAGCCTGTCATTTCGCCGAATCTTTATTATATTATATTATGTTTATGAACATAATAGCCTGGGGTCCCCAGGTAAGTCAAGTTTACTGGGCGGCGCTCAGCCTGTCATTCCGTCGAATCTTTATTATGTTTATGAACATAATAGCCTGGAGTCCCCAGGTAAGTCAAGTATATGTATTATTAGACCTTCAATAGTTCAAAAAAGTGACATACGACACACCAGTATACAGAATGCTAATAAATTTTTTGTACGCAAATTCACGAAAACTGAAAAGTAATTTCTTTGTTGCGTTCGTGCGCGGCGGGCCTACAACGGGAGGCCGAGGCAAGCGAGCTAGGTAAATCACCGGCCAGTAATATAATTGTAAATAGTTTTTGTCAACTAAGTGCCTCAATTTTGTTCAATACACGTCATTTTAGGGGGTGCACAATAAACTTGCTCAGATTTTAAATTTTTTTGTACCATTGTTTTCTAGAGACTGTGAAAATTTTCACAATACCAAATTTGTCATACCTTTTTGAAAAGATCAGTGAGTTCTATAAACGAGAATCAAGTAAACCCCTTCTCAGCAGAAACAAAATACTCTGCGTGCACAATTTGTATAAGTACCACTGTCTACTTGAAATGTTTAAAATAATCAAACTTCACACTCCAATACCGATGTACAATTTATTTCAAAAGTCACCCCGACGTGATAACTACTTTATTAACCCCGCTGCAACCAATTGGTTTGTATATAAAACCTTGAATATGTGGAATAAATTCCTTAAACTTTCTAGTAAGATTGACTTCTCGTCCCCAATTGCACTTGTTAAAGGTCGCATTAAAACTATGCTACTCAATGCTCAAAAAGCTGGAAACACTGATGAATGGTCAGAACTCAACTTTGATGGAAATGACATGTGCCTATAATAAGAACAAACAAACTAGTCCATATAGATTTCATACTACACACACAAAATAACACACACAATACACACCACAGTCAAACATAGAAACTATATATTCACGCATATACGCAGAACACTGATCAGCTCATCCGCTTTAAACTAGTGTCTGGACTTGTCTGGAGTGTGTGTCTGGAACGTGGGACGGACTCACAAATATATTGTGTAAACGTAGCGCGCGAAACTTAAATATTGTATAACTCTATCATTTCATTACCCAGCTTGATTTACCGCGCCAGAAAAATGAAATATCGCCGCGCTATATCCGTGAACCTACAGTCACTTATATCTTATATTTTATATTTTGTATCTCTTACTACGTAACGCAAAATTAAGTTGTATCACACTCCCGGTTTTGGACCCCAATGTTAACCTTGCAGCAACTGTGTCAGCCCAATATACTCTAGAAGTATGATCACACTTATTTTAATGAACAAAAGACCCATAATTAATATAATCAGATACTCATCAACAGCAGCAGTTTCCGTCCGTGTGATGTGTTGTCCTTCTCCTTTCTGTGTCCCCGTCGTTTTGTTTTGTGAAATGTATTGTAGTAGTGTTTTAATATTTAAATCGAACGCAACTCAATAGTTAATAATAACAAACACAAATACAAATACTATTTTAAATAATTGATTAATATCGATTTATACGAACCAAACATTAATTATTCTTTAATAACCTTTTATATGTGTTAAACGATCCAGGGCATATCTAAAATTCGATAATGAACTTCATATAATATTATTAGTGCCGCGTGCTGATAAATATTCTGGGAATCAATCCACTCAATCGTGGCGATAACATATTTTTGTGCTTGGCCGGTTTTAGGTTTGAGTTTGTGCTCCAAAAGTGGTAAATCGGGTGCTAGTAAAGCTCTTGCAGGCAACTGGCTCCTTTTGCCAACTGCTTTTGGTTTAAACGCTGACTCATATTTGGAACTGGCACTGGTATAATTGTAATATCCTACGAAGTCAGCATGCTATATTATTTTGCAAAACTCGTTTAATATCTTGACAATATTTAAAGTTTATGGTTTTATGTTTAGGCGCGGCGCACCGCTTATATGTTATAGCTCATTCAGCTTCTGTTTTCAGCGATGTGTTGTTACACACTGTATAGCATGTGGGTCAAGCGCGGTGCCGCGCCTAAGCAGCAAAAGAGTTATTTATTTTAAAATTTATTTTTATATCTCAAAAATGATGTAAAGTTTTTAATATGACGTAGAATTAAAACTATTTCCGTACAGCCTAAGTGCTAAGCGTGCTCGTTAGAAAAACTATGAACAATGAACATAACATGCTAGCTTTCTTTATTTTTGTAAGTCGCGTCGGCTGACATCTTGGGTTGTACTGGATGTAACAAGTTTATTATCGGATGTCTACTTATATTTATTATGATATCATTATTCATTGTAATGGCAATAAAATTAAAATTTTGTTTTACTTAAATTTTGTTTTACTTAGTTTCGCCAAGGTGCTATATTTTTGTCCTTGACAGACTGAAATGGCCATCTCCTTATTGCTCCTGTGGTCATGAAGAACAAACTGCAATTCATATACTGACTAGTTGTGGTCATGTTGACGAAGACCTTAGGGACCAAGCCTCATATCTTCTCAGTATTGGTAACGAGGTCTCCAATCTGGAAGATCTGGGTACTCCACACTTGGCGATCCTAAACTGCTCC